TTTTAGTTATGACTGAGCTTTCTGTTGAATTTGTGATACTACTTTTAATTTCCTCTTAATTCAATGCTTATCAAGACTACAATTTTTAATTTAGGATCTTAAAAATTTAAGGAGCTCAAATTTTTTGAACAACATTTTTACTTTTTCAAATTTTATTGGATTATGATATGAGAATAAATCCTATAAAATGTTTCTCATTTTGAATTTGTTAAGGATTTCTTCAAAATCAAGTACATGACACTGTATAGACAAAGGAAATTTAATTATATCCTCTATTTATAGAATTCAAAGTTCTTCATATTTCCATTGTTTATATATTAATTTTCCATACATATTATTATTATATCAGTCCAATTATGCATGTTACATATTGCTGTGTAATAAATTACTTCAATACTTAGTGGCATAATCTATAAACATTTACCTCAAAATTTCTGTGGGTCAGAAATTTGAGTGCAGTTTAGCAGGGTGGTTCTGGCATAAGGTCTCTCATAAGAAGACAGTCAAACTATTGGCCAGGGACATAGTCATTTGAAAGGTTGACGGGCTGGCAGACTGATTTTCAAGATTGCTAACTCATCTGGCTACAGACACAGTAATTCAGTTCTTTTCTGGCTATTGGCAGATCAGCTACATGGGCCACTCCATAAGGTTCCTGAGTAGTCTCATGATGCAGCAGCTGGCTTTCCCCAGTGTGCATAATCTAAGATAGAGAAAGCAGACAGAAAGCTGCAGTGTCCTTTTTAACTTAAGTTTCCAAAGTTGCACACCATCTCTTCTGATTTTTTCCCTATTTGTTAGAAGCAAATCATTAAGTCCAGCCTACATTCAAGAGATGACAAATTAGGCTTTACCTTTACAGGGAGTGTTTCCCAGCTGGTGTGGCTCAGTGGTTGAGTGTTGACCTATGAACCAGTAGGTCACAATTTGATTCCTGGTCAGGGCACATGCCCGGGTTGCAGACTCAATCCCCAATGTGGGGCAGCTGATCAATGATTCTCTCTCATCGATGTTTTTTTTCCCTCTCTCTCCCTTTCCCTTCTTTTTTGAAATACATAAAAAATAATTTAAAAAATAAAGGAAATATCAAAGAATTTGTGTATATTATTATTAATATTTTTAAATTATTGACAGTATTATAGATGTTCCACCATTTCCCCTTCCTTTATGCTCCTCTCCCAGCCTCTACTCCCCCATGCCTTCACCACCCTATTTCCTGTGCCCAATGTATAGCTATATATATAAAAACCTAAGTGACCAGCTGAGTGGCTGGTAGCTATGATGTGCACTGACCACTTGGAGGGCAGACACTCAACACAGGAGCAGAAACCACAGGCATGGAAACATGGGACATATTGATGAATCTCAGAGAGAAGAGGGAAGGGGGAGGGCAAGAAGAGATTAACCAAAGATCTTATATGCACACTAGAGGCCTGGTGCATGGATTCATGTACCGGTGGGGTCCTTCAACCTAGCCTGTAAAGATCAGGCTGAAATTGGCCCAGTGCACAAATCCGGGCACCGGTGGGGTCCCTCGGCCTGGCCTGCAGGAATCAGGCCGAAACCAGCTCTCTGACATCCCCTGAGGGGTCCTGGATTATGAGAGGGTGCAGGCCAGGCCAAGGGACCCCACTGGTGCACGAATCCACACACTGGATCTCTAGTAAGTACCTATATAAGTTCTTTGGTTTATCTCTTCTGCCTTCCCTCCCCCTTCTCCCCCAACACACATACACCAGAATATGTCAGTCTCTTCCATGCCTCCATGCCTCAGGTCTTATGTTGTTGGTCAATTCATTTTGTTTATTAGATTCCACAAATAAGTGAGATCATGTGAGACTAGTATTTGTTTTTCTTTGATTGGTTTATTTCACTTAATGTAATGGTCTCCAGGTCCATCCATGCTGTATCAAAGGATAAGATATCCTTTTTTCTTACAGCTGCATAATGGGAATGTGTGTATATTATTTTAAACCAATAATTCAATCTGAATATTGTTTATATTTTTAAATAATTTCTTCTTGCATTTATAATAGCCAAAATGACGCAAAAACTTGCTCCTTTTTGTATTGAATACAAATTCATGAATTGACGCGGGTGAGATCTAGAGGAAATATCAAGCTGGTCAGTGGGTCCTGCAGGCTGTAAAATGCAGTTTAATCAGAGGGCCATTTTTTTGTTCAAATGATTTTAATTATTGGAATGCACAATTTTTAAATATGCAAATAAAAAGTTTTAAAACCTGAAGAAAAAAAAACAAAAAAATTCATGAATTGTATGTTCTTCATAAAGTACCTCTTAATATGATGTAATGTTGCTTTGTGATATTGTTTAGTACTTTAAATTCCACTATGTTTGGTATTTTTATTTGAATTTTTGCTTTCTCTTTGTTGCATTGACCTTACTTTCAACTTTCCTTTCTCACAAACTGTATGTATGCCCGAGTTTTATGTTTTAATGTAGTCTGGTGATCTTAGTAGTGTAAGGCAGAATTTAATCCATTCACAATTAGTAAAACATAGTTTTTGAAAATTTTTCTTGTATTATACTTTATTTACTAATTATTCAACTTGTTTTCATCCTTTTATTTTTCTTTCTGCTGTTTTGGTGACGTTTTCTTTTTTATTATTCTCTTTGGCAGTTTTACTGTGCTTTTCCATTCACTTTTCAGTTTCTTCCCATTCCTGACATTTTAAATTAATAATGTATATGTGTTTCTCAAATAGCCATAACTTTATTTTTCCATAATTATTCTCTCTCTCCTCCAATAGGGTAAATGTATTTATTTCACACTTTTCTATGTATGTTCCAGATGAGATTTGTAGAGAATTTTACTTTTCTTCCTTCACCACCCCTGTCCTCTCTAAGTACTGGCTATTGCTCACGCCATATTTTTCGTTCTTAACCATTATTAGGTTTTCCTTCATAGTATGTCTTTTCTGTTTCTATAATCCTTGCTTAGTATTTAAATGCAAGTTCCACATTTTCACTATTGATTTGTATTATACATTTCAAGGTTCATTTTCATGTCTGTATTTGTTCCTCTTGCTCTTTCCCCAGCTTCAGGACTTTTTATTATTACCGCTGTTATTTGGTTAGAATATTTTCTTGAGTGTTTTCCTCTATGGGATATGTAGGTGCTATTTTCTTTGAATGCAGGGACCTTTTATTGTTTACTTCTGTGTTTCTAGCACCTAAAACTGTCTCTATTACATAAAAAGCAACCAATATGTATTCATTTGTTGTAGCACTTACTACACATTCACATCTTTCTTCCACCCCTAATAACATTTATATCATTGGTGGTATTTGATATTTGACATATATGCAAATATTTTCTATCCCTCTCAGGAGATAATGATGTCTTAGCCTAGTCCTTTTCTCCTTTTAATTTGTAGTTTTAATTCTACTATTTTCTACCTCCCACTACTACAGGTGAGGAGTCTGATGTCTGGATGAGTATTTTCCCTTTGTAATTTAGTCTTTCTGACTGGCAACTTATAAGACTTTTTACCTGGTAATAGGATATTTTTTCCCATCAGTTGTGCACAGGGGTCATAATCTCTTTCAAACTTCAGGTGGAAATCTCTTTTTAACCATAGAAAATTCCCTCTTGTTTATGTAATTATTGCCTCTTCTCCATCTGTTTCTTTTTCATGATTCTAGAATGCTTATTATTATTGGCATATTAGTTCTCTTGGCTTTGAATTCTAATCTCTTACTCATTATTTTCATCACTTTCCTTTTTGTTCTGTGTGAGAGATTTTTTTAATCTGTGCTCTTTATGGTAAATAATATATATTCCAACCATTCTTTCTTTTACTTAGCTCTGATTGATATTTTAATGTCAAGAATTAACTTAAAAAATTAAATGTATTGGGTGACATTGGTTAATATGATCATAAAGGTTTCAGGTGTGGGTTTCTGTGTTACAAGATCTGTATATTGCACTGTGTACCCATCACCCAAAGTCAAATATTTCTTTACCATATATTAGGACCCTTTTCACCCCCTATCACCTTCCCTCCGCTAACCACCACACTGCTGTTTGTGCCCATGAATTTCAGTTTTATGTCCCACATATGAGTGAAATCATTTGGTTCTTAACTTTTTCTGACTGACTTGTTTCACTTAGCATAATATTCTCAAAGTTCTTCCATGTTGTTGCAGATGGCAGTATTTCATATTTTCTTATGGCTGAGTAGTATTCCATTGTGTTATATACCACATCTTTTTTATCACAGGACACTTTTATTGTCTCCTTGTCTCCTTGGCCACCGTGAAGAATGCTGCAATGAGTATAGGGGTGCATATATCTTTGTGAATACTTGTTTTCAAGTATATTGTGATGCTAACACAGTTATTTGTCATGCTAACACTGTATTTAAAGGTTTTATCTTATACCCAGGAGTGATAATCAAAATATTTAACAATTAATATGGTCTGGTCAGTGAGCAGTGAGAAAACACACTATCAATACTGTGATTATATCAGAATGTACTGGTGTATCAGTCTTACATACAATTACTGGTGCCTTATACATTCCTGGGCACTTTTTATCCATTGTCATTTGATCTAGGGAGGGGGAATATAGTGTCATCTTCCTTTTGCAATTTGAGGCAATCACACAAAGCCCAGAGTAATTAAACACAGGGCCCCTTAGAAATTTCCCTCTTTTACAGGGAAAAGGAAGAGACGAAAGTAGCCATTTTTTATAGGATAAATATCAGCTTCTTTTAGAGGAAACTCATAGTAGATGGTGGGTAGAATGAACAATCCCTATCCCCTGATATCTTCCTGCCCCAAGCTAATTCTTCACTTTCAAGGTCCCTTGCAGGAGATGTCTTCCCCAGAAGAGTGAAACTGACTCAAGCAACTGAGCAAATTTTCTCAAATGAAAGAACCGACTCAGCTTCTTTCTCCATGTCCACAGGGACATTAAGTACAAAGTAAAAGTATATTTTTGTAATTGCTTGTTTTTCCCCTCTCCTCTTCCACAGAATGGCCTCCCCTCTGGGTATAACCCATATGTTTTTAATGGTGACTTTGTGGATCGAGGAAAATGTTCCATCGAGATCTTGATGATCCTGTTTGTGAGTTTCCTTCTCTATGGTGATGACCTGTGCTTGAACAGAGGGAACCATGAAGACTTTTTGATGAATATGAGGTAACCTATAGCCCTTTATATCTCCTCTTTTGTTTCCCATTTTATAAACTTCCATCATGTTTAGTTCCTAGCAAAGAGTTAGAGGTGAGTGTAGAGAAGTAGGGATGAGGGAAATCTCAATTCTTACCCTTGTTTATAAGCTCTAGTCTTCTACTGAATGAGTATACATTATTCTGAAGTCCTCTTTCAGTCTTTTTTTCCTACTTTTGTTCTTCCTTCTCCCTTCCATTATGTTCTTATCCTCCCATGCCCACCCTTTACAGTCCATATCATATGCAGGGTAGATGTGTTAGGCCAGGTTTGGAGATGTCCTTGTAGGTTCTATGAGCAGGCTTAGATGGAATCATTCTGTTGCTACCCTTTTGGCTTGTGTTATGTATTGTTTCAGACACTAGTACCGTATTTTTCACTGATATTTTTTTATGACATAGTAATTGCTTCTGGCACAGTTGTTCATAAACATATTTGAGAACAGCTGCAACATACCATTCAACTATCTGACTCACTAGAAATTTGAAGAATATAGATTGGTTAAATGGTTTGCTAGTTTTTGCTGAAAGGCCCAGTGGGTGATAGATGGCCTCCTTTTTCTTCTTTCTTCTTCTTCCCCCTCCTTCCTCTTCTTCTACTCCCTCTCCTCTTCCTCCTTTTTTCCCCCTCTATTTATGAAAAACAGGAACCAGTTTGCCCTAGGGCAGTAGAAGGCATGGAGTGTTTCCTGTGTTTTGTCCTGGGGTTTTGAATACCTTGATCAATGCTCAGCAACTTATTAGTTTTGTCTTTTGGGCAGTTTTGGCACCTGACCAGAGTACAAAGTTTAGATTCTAATTCTTAGGTATAGAAGCAAATGCCGAGACTATGGAAAAAAAATTCCAAGACTATTATCAGAGGCCCATTAATGTATAATATAGCTCAATTCTTTTATTTGGGCATACCATTTATCCCTTCATTTATTAATTTAGCCAATCATATTTATTTAATGCTTCAATGTTTAATGAAAGAGACATGGTTCCTACCCTCATAGAGTTTACATCTAGCAGACAAGACACATATTGAGCAGGTTTTGCAAGTGCGGTGAGTTTGTAAAGTGGGGGATCCAATATGGCTGAGAGGTGACAGAGGTTCTCTCACAGAAGAATGGTGTTAGTCTGAGCCCTGAGGAATGAATTAGGAAATCAAGAGAAGGCCAAGGTGTTTCACAGTGAGGGGACAACTTATACAGAACACAAGACAAAACTTTTTAGATTTGAAAGAAGTTCAGGAGGCAAGGGCATAGACTAATGGACAGGATGGTGTCTGATAGGGCTGGAGACATAAGAAATGGATAATGCAAAGGAATTTGGATTTTTCTTCTAAGGACATCAGAAATTCATTGGAGAGTATTGCAAGGTTATATTTTAAAAACAGCAGGAAGAGTAAATTTGGAGACAGAGAAGAGTAGCAGTATATATGGAGAGGTCAATTAAGAAGGAGTTGAACAGTACAAGATGGATTCTCACTTACACTATAGTGGTGTGGATGGAGATGCAAAGGAGTAGATAAATTCAAGAGGAGTTTTGGAAATGATGATTTAATGCTTGGTGGTATGAGGGACTTGAAAGAGGAGAGAATCAAGGATAGACTCTAGGTTCTTGCCTCGAGTTTCCTGATATTGGGAACATGAAAAGTGGAGAAAGATGGGATATCATTTCCTGATATTGGGAACATGAAAAGAGGAGAAAGATGGGATGAGAGGGAATGATGAGTTCAGTTTGAGGAAAGCTAATCTGAGGTGCTTTGAGTAGGAAGTTGAGTATCCATGTCCAGAGCTCAGAAATGAAGTGTGGGCTGGAACATTGTCCTGTAGTACTGGCATGTAAATAGTAACTGAAACCCTAGACGAGAATGACATTGACAAGGGAGAAAGTGAAGGGACAGAATCTGAAGGAACTCCCAATTGTTTAAGGCATGTTAGTAGAGAAATTGCAAAGGAGATTCACAGTAGCTAGATAGGCCAGAGGAAAACCAGGATAGTTTACTTTCACACAATCCATGAGAAAAGAAGTTTTCCAGGATTATGTAGTCAGCTGTATTTAGTGTTTCTGAAAGAGCAAGAAAGATGGGGACTGCAAAATGTTTATTGGATTTAAGAACATGGAAACCTTTGCTGAGTACAGGACTGAAATAGTCTCAGAAAACATCATGTTATACTGTAGAAGACTGACATGATATGATTTGCATAGAAACCTGGAGTATGTTGTGATCCAACTTCACTGTGTTGGATACTAAGAATATATACTATTATGCTAAAGCAAGGGAAAAAAACGGAAGAAAATTCTCATCATTAAATCTCCCTTAGTAACTGTTATTCAGGCTCTAAAATTCCTGACACTTTCTATTAAAACCTTTAACACATAACGTGAAGTATATCTGAGAGACTATAAAGAGCCAACTTGTTTATCTTCTAGGTTTCTCTTAGTCTTTGGTCTTTTTCCCCCTCTCCATATCATTCATTTACTGTAAGATATAGGTGGTCTGAGAAATTCTATTTAGACTAAAAGCGTTCTCCCACACAGCTTTCTCCATCTGCCACAGTGCTCCTCTCTGGGTACTTGAAACATTAACACAAGCTATGCTTACCACATAGTCTTAAAGTTGCTCGTGATTGTTTCACAAAATCTTATCTTCTTTCCCCAACTTTACTACAAGCTCCTTGAGTATAGGTAGAAAAGTTTTGGCTGCTTTTGCTCTTTCCCATCATGCTTAGCAAATACTTGAGTAAATAATAATCAGTTCCAACTGAAGTCTAGTTTCTTAAGTTGCTGACATTTGTGATAGTGAGATGACAAGACCTCCCTTTTTTGCATGGTTCACATAGGTAGGAGTTAACAACATTTAATTCAATAGTTTTAATTCCCCTCCCCCCCCCTTTTTTTCCAGATATGGATTCACAAAAGAAGTCTTGAGTAAATATAAGGTAATACTTATACTTTAAAAAAAATTTTCTTTGTTGTCTATACATTGAAGTAAAAAAATAGCCTTCAGGAAGGGTTATGGGTGAACTAGTGAGAATCTATATGAATAAAAGCACAGTAGGAAGCCCTAGCCATGGCAAAGGCTTAATTTTCTTCCTGGACTAAAGCAAGCTTTTTCAATGTGACTTTTGTAGATTTTGGCGTAGATACAAACATATTCCATTGTTTTTAAGGTACCTGGGATTTGTTTTACTCAGGTGTGGAAAAACATGCGGATGAAAACATAGCTGTCCTAAAGGAAAAGGCTTTTAATAAGCTATCAGGAAATAGGAGGCACACAGCACATTGGGGGGCGGGCACATGGGGAAGCACCAAGGATAGGCAGAAGGCAGAGGGATTGAGAGGGCGAGTGTGTTTATTGTGTTTTCCCTGGTAAGGAATGGGGAAAGCAGTGTAAGCAGATTTAGGATTGGCTAATTTGAGTAATTTCAGCCCCATAAAGGAGGTGGTTGGGTTTTTGATTGGTTGGCTTGCATATGACAGGCAAGTCATTTACTATCTCTGAGAATTAGCTAGTCCTGGAAGGACTCTGAAAAATACAGAATAAAAAGACATGATGAATGGATGCTAGTGGGTTAGTGACTCTGTGCTGACTTCCTTTAGGTGTCATGAAAACTGTTTTGCTTTTTGTCCATCCACTGCAACTATTCCATAAACTTGAACCCATCAGAAAAATGAGTCTTATTCAAGCTCTTACTTACAGATACATGGGAAGAAAATCTTACAAGTCTTGGAAGAAGTTTTTGCCTGGCTTCCCCTTGGTACAATCATTGATGATGAGATCCTGATCATGCATGGTGGCATATCAGAGTCTACGGATCTGAATTTACTCCATCATATAGAAAGAAACAAAGTAAGAAGGCAGTGTACATGAATCTTGTCTCATAGATTTATAAGAGGATATATGCCTCTTTTAAAAATTTGTTATTTTGTATTCATTTGTATTTTCATGGTTATAACTGAAAAGATTGGTACAAATTTCAGAAAAATCTATGATTGTATGGTAAAGAGCTAAATGGGTAACTTCTATACATTGGGGAATTAAAATATATATATATATATATATTTTTTTTTTTTTAAGAGGTAGGGAGAGAGAGAGAGGGAGGGAGGAAGGATTGGGGGGGGAGAGAGAGAGAGAGATTCCTTTGCATGCTTCCCATGTATGTCCAACTGGGGATTAAACACACAGCCTACTCTAGGTACCTAATATAGGTGGAATCAGACAGCACTTGATTTCTGAATTGATATGAGTTCCCTTATAATATACTCCACATAGTTCAGGGTAATATTTTTGGAAATATTTTTAAGCCTAATTAATCATATTAAAAAACAACAGAAAGAGAGCAAGGGCGTGTATTAAACCTCCGAGGGAAGTGGTTGTGCGGGTCCTGTAAAGCTCTCCCACCTTTGGGAAAGGCTCCTTCCACTGGGATTTGTAGAATGACTGGAGTTCTCTTCCCTCTGTGCCAGCCACGTCCCCAGACCAGAGGCTTAGGGGTACCATATGGGCATGAGGCCCGATAGTAGTTGTGGAGCCAGATGATCATATATAGTCCTAGTGAGAAACAGGAACCCTTACCCCTTAGGACTGATGACCAATTTCTAACCAATCTAGGTAGGTAGAGTCCAGAGCTGGAGTTTAATCTGATATGGACAGAAATGTGACACCTATTCACCTTGAGTTTTTGGAGCAATTATACCACTATACATATATGAATGATAATATTGTTGCTAACTTCTCACCCTTTTAATTTCAGCTTAAATATACCCCCTTGCAAAGCCAACCATAATGTGCAGAGTAGATCAATCCCCTTTCATATGCTCTGAAGCCCTTGTATATCCTATCTAATAAAAGAGTAATATGCAGATTGACCATCACTCAACACACAAGATGGCTGCACCCATGTTGTCAAAGATCCTGTCCCCATGTGGATGCAAGATGGCTACCACAAGATGGCCAGCAGGGGAGGGCAGTTGGGGAAGCACTAGGCCTGCAGGGGAAGGCAGTTAGGGGTGACTAGGCCAACAGAGGAAGGAAGTTGGGGGCAAACAGGCTGGCAGGGGAGTGGTTAGGGGGTGATCAGGCTGGCACGCAGAAGCGGTTAGGAGCAATCAGGAAGGCAGGCAGGCGAGCAATTGAGAGCCAGCAGTCCTGGATCATGAGACGGATGTCTGACTGCCTGTTTAGGCCCGATCCCAGTGGGCAGTCGGACAAGTGGGATCGGGCCTAAACAGGCAGTTGGACATCCTTCGAGTGGTACCAGAGTGGAGAGGGTGCAGGCTGGGCTGAGGGACACCACCACTCCCTCCCCCCATGCACAAATTTTGTGCACCGGGCCTCTAGTATCCTTCATAACAGTTACTAAAATTAAATAACAAACTGTGGTACTGTTTGTTTACTATCTTCCCCTGCTTCTATAGTTCCCTGATATAACCCCAGCATCCCCAGAAATTAAGAGGTAACAAGTGCTTAAATCAATGTTTATTGAATATCTCCTAAGAGATTTAAGAGCAAAGTGGGCAAACCTAAGACAGAACTGGATAAAAACACTTTTATAACCCTACTGCTAATTCTGTGGTGATTTTGCATAGTCTCTCCCTGCCCCCCCCCCCCCAAGTTCACCCAAAGATCATCATACTTCCTGATTTATACCTGTTGTCTTGGTATAATTGTTAATAGCACCTCCCTGTACTCTTCAAAAATATCCCAGTTGCAACAAAGTTTAAGGCCACCATAAGTTTAATGCATCTTTCTTATGGTATCAATAAATAGTCAAGTCAATAAGATGTTTTGATAAACATGAGATAGTGTTAGCATAATGAGGGGATATGATTCTAGCCAAGAGCAAGGGAACATGATATTTTTGTCAGTCAAATATTGGCAAGCACATAGCATGAATGAGACTCTCTCCCACCACCTGTCCGTCCTATCACTACAGAACTGATCAGCTGTGGCAGCCACTACCAATTGATCAGATTGAAAAATTTTCCCTTCCTGAGATTAGCCCAAGCAGGTAGCCCTCTATAGGGTTTTTCAGATATTAAGATCTCATGTCTCTGGAATGCCCGTTACTATCTCTGTGGAGAGCCTAAATTGAGAGCCACCTTAACCTAGTAAATACCATGAAGTTCTGACATCAGACAGGTATAGCTAGATTTTCACCCTGCTTCTGCCACTTCCTGGCTGGGAGACTGGGCAAGGAACCAAAGTGGTCTAGGTCTCAATTTTCATACCTATACATTGAAGCTAAAAAATGCCTACCATATTGAATTATTAGGATTAAATATAATTACCTAGATGAAGAAAAGATCATAGAGTAAGCTCTGAACATTGAGCTCTCTTTTCCAACTCTTTCTTTGTTTCCCCGATACTTGGGACTAAGGTTTGAATTTCAGTCATGAAGATAGACCCTGGGTAGAAGTTTCTAGACCAGGAATTTTCCCAGTATACCTCAAATTTCATAACACGTAAAGATCATTGTTCTATCAACTCACAAGATGGATTTTAAAGATAAAAATTTGACTTATGTAGTTTTTGTAGCTTCTACTCTCCTAGAGTGAGGTTGAACTGGCAGCACATAGTTGTATTAAATATAATTGAGCTGTAATAAAAGTAGTGTGTTCAGTCTTTTAGAACTCTACCAGATGAGATACAAAAGTAGATTTTGAAGTCCAATTTTTTATAAATGATTTGAGAGAGAAGAAAGGAGAGGGAGGAGGGAGGAAAAGGGAGAAAGAGAGAAACATCAATCTATTGTTTCACTCACCCATGCATTCATTGGTTGCCTCCTGCATATGCTGCAGCTGGGGATTAAACCTCCAAGCTTGACACATGGGGGCAGGACTCTAACAAACTGAGCTATCTGGTCAGGGCCTCAAGTCCAAATTTACAACCCTTGCTTTTTTGTCCCTTAGGGCCTTCCAAGTGTAGGGTGACCATGATTCCTGGTTTACAGCTGTTGTGGTATACCTATTACTAGTGGAGGGGGAGGGTTGAGGGAACCTGATGGCAACCTACATTCTAGGTTCATTAAAGGCATTTTGTAAGGTAGGCAGTTTGGGAGGATGAGTCAATACAGAGGGACAGAAAAGGAATATTCTAGAAGATTAAAATTCTAGTATTCTTTAAACTCCCTGGCAGGAGTGGGGGAAGGGATGGTTAGGAGGTCCTCCAGGAGAAAATAATGGTGTGGGGCCTTAGGAATGGGGTGGGAAAAAGTATTCTGATCCCTAGTGGCCGTGAAAACAGAAGCTCCACATGTACGTACTTAAGAGACCATGTGGACTTGCCCAATGAGTTTATCAGAAATTGTGTGGACCCAAGTCCAGAGTATCTTCCCAGAATATTCTGCCCCGTGTAAGACCTGGGGACATTTGCTGGGGGAGGGGTATGAGGAGGGTAGGTATTGAACTTACCAATAATAGCTGAGATTGAATTTCCAACAATCTCAATGAGATAGGACCTCAGAATAAGATTCAATTTTATTTTTGAAAAACAAAGGTAAGATTTCATAAACACCCTAGTTTATAGAAGAAACTAGAAGTCTACCACAGAGAATTATCTGTCATTGAACTAAGGCCACCAATATAGCAGAAATATTGTTTAAAATTATTTTGTACTAGAGGCCTGGTGCATGAAATTCGTGCATGGGGTTGTGTGTCTCTCAACTTCGCTCTCTCCAATCTGGGACCCCTTGAGGGATGTCTGACTGCCTATTTAGGCCCGATCCCGGTAGGCTGTGCCCTTGACCAGAATTGAACCTGGGATCCTTCAGTCCACAGGCCAATGCTCTATGCATTGAGCCAAACCAGCTAGGGCCCACTTTTTATAAAAACTCTAATCCAAGTGGGAATAGAGGGATTATACTTCAACATAATAAAGGCCATATATTACAAACCTATAGCTAGCATCTCATACTCAATGGGCAGAAACTAAATCCATTTCCCCTAAGAATAGAAAAAATATGGGGATGTCTGCTTTCACCACTCTTATTCAACATAGTACAGGATATCTTAGCCACAGTGATCAAAAAAGAAGGAAAAGTAAAAGGCATCCAAATTGGAAAGGAGGAACTAAAATGGTCATTTTTCACAGATGACATGATATTACACATAGAAAACACTAAAGACTCCATTTAAAAAAACTATAGGATTTAATAAATTAATGCAACAACATAGCAGAATACAAAATTAACACCCAGAAATCAATGCCATTTTTATACACCAACTAGAGGCCCAGTGCACAAAATTCATGCACGGGGGTATGTGTCCCTCAGCCTAGTCTGTACCCTCTCCAATCTGGGACCCCTCAAGGGATATCTGACTGCCCTACTGGGATTGGGCCTAAAGGGGAAGTTGGACAACCTTCTCACAATCCAGGACTGCTAGCTCCCAACTGCTCGCCTGCCTGCCTTCCTGATTTTCCCTAACCACTTCTGCCTGCCAGCCTGATCACCCCATAACCACTCCCCTGCCAGCCTGATTAATGCCTAATTGCTCCTCTGCCATCCTGTTTGCCCCTAACTGCCTTCCCCTGCAGGCCTGGTCACCCCTAACTGCCCTCCCCTGCAGGCCTGGTCCCCGGCTCCCTCTCCCCAATGCCCTTCCCTGCAGGCCCGTTCCCCCCCAACTTCCCTCTTCTGCCAGCCTGGTCACCCCTAACTACCCTCCCCTGCAGGCTTGATCACCCCCAACTGCCCTCCCTTGCAGGCCTGGTCCCTCCCAACTGCCCTCCCCTGCTGGCCATCTTGTGGTGGCCATCTTGTGTCCACATGGGTATACCCATCTCGTATGTTGGAGTGATGGTAAATTTGCATATTACTCTTTTATTAGATAGGATAGAGGCCTGGTTCATGGGTAGGGGCCAGCTGGTTTGCACAAAGGATGTCCCGGATCAGGATGGGGGGTACCTTGGGGCATGGGGTAGCCTGGGTGAGGGGCCTGTGGAGATTTGCATGCTAGTCACGCCCCCCATTGACCCAAGCAGAAGCCTTGGTATCTGGGATTTATTTATCTTCTATAATTAAAACTTTGTAGCCTTGAGCGGAGCCAGGCCTCATGCTCACTCCATGGCTGCAGCCATTTTTGTTGGGATTTATTTATCTTCTATAATTGAAACTTTGTAGCCTTGAATGCAGGCCAAGTCAGGCTAGAGCTACAGAAGTTTGGCTTCCTCTATCACTGGAGGCAACTCAAGCCACCTGTGCTGCCGCCATTTTTATTGGGATTTATTTATCTTTTATAATTGAAATTTTGTGGAGTCCACAGCCAGCCAGGATGTGTTGGAAGCTTGGCTTCCTCCATTGCCGGGGAAACCCAAGCCTCCTGCTTACTCCATGGCTGCAGCCATGTTGGTTGGTTTAATTTGCATAGTTGCTCCCAATTGGCCGATGGACATGGCTTGTGGGTATAGCGGAGGTACAGTCAATTTGCATATTACTGTTTTATTAAATAGGATAAGGGTAGGGTGCTACAAAGAAACAAGTGTAAAATTATAGTCTCGAGTTATGTAAGGGATTATTGAAGGGATTATAGTAATTGGCATACTATCAGAAAGATATTTTATTTTCCAAAGAAATGCATCACTTTTATTAGTAGGATTAGAGAATAGTACCAATTGCTGGCAGGGTCAGATTGAGACCACATTACATTTAAGTTGAAGGGCTTCCAAAGTTTTCAAGTTATGTCCTCTTTGAGAACTCTCCAGGACATAAATGTACTTTCTCTCATTTCTCCAGGAAAACACAACAAAATGAAGAGTAGCCACTTTTGGGGTATTTCTGAAATCGAAGCCTGTTGGTTCTTCCTTAGCCCCATTTATAGATAAAGGCTCAGAGGGAGATAATTTTCCCTTAGCATCTTCCATTTCCTGAGATGATGCCTCAGAACATGTCTAGCACTGACATATGTGCCTCTAGGGTCCTTTAGAAACTAATGGGAAACTTTCCCTGTAGGGAAGTTTCTCTATTTGAAAAATGTACAAGCAGAATTTAACAGGTTCGCTTTCTATATATCAGTGGATCACTAAGATAAAAGAAATGAGTAAGATGCAAAAAGATGACTGTGCGTTTTTCATTGGGTTCAGGCACAACAATGTAGAGAGAACAGCAACTGGTACTGGAGTTTCTGCATGTCAGCACACCAAGCATAGGGTTTGACTAAAGCAAGAATTTGTTTTATAGATGAAATCTGTGTTGATGCCACCAGTTCCAGTGGATAAAGATGTAGGAACTGAAACGAAGAAGACTAAAGGATATATGCCTCGGGGAGTCAAATTAAGTGGATCACCTTCTGATTATTTAACAAAGCATGAGTGGGAACAGGTAAGTAATTAGACTGTTCACCAAAGTGGCAAAGAAGACACAGCATAGATTATGTTGTCTCTTACAATATAGAGATAAAAAGTGACTTACCTTTATACACAGATCATATTCTTCTCACTGAATTGATCACTATATTTTTACAGCTTTATTGATATACTAAAGGCCTAGTGCACAAAATTTCTGCATGGGGGTTTGTGTGTCTCTCAGCCCAGCCTGCACCCTCTCCAATCTGGGACCCTTTGAGCGCAGTCAGACATCCCTCTCACAATCCAGGACTACTGGCTTCTAACTGCTCGCCTGCCTGCCTGCCTGATTGCCCCTAACTGCTTCTGCCTGCCAGCCTGGTCACTCCCCTAATCACTCCCCTGCTAGTCAGATTGATGCCTAACTGTTCCCCTGCCAGCCTGTTTGCCCCTAACTGTCCTCCCCTGATGGCCTGGTCGCCCCTAACTGTCCTCCCCTGCAGGCCTGGTTGCCCCCAACTGCCTTCCCTTGAAGGCCTGGTCCCTCCCAACAGCCCTCTCTTGCTGGCCTGATCACCCACAACTGCCCTCCCCTGCCAGCCATCTTGTGTCCACATGAGAGTAGCCATCTTTGACCTCATGGAGGTGGCCATCTTGTATGTTGGAGTAACGGTCAATTTGCATATTACCTCTTTATTATATAAGATAATTCACATACTACATGCCATATTTATTTAAAGTATATAATTTGGTTTTTAAAAAAAAATATTTTCGCTGAGACCGGTTTGGCTCAGTGGATAGAGCATCGGCCTGGGGACTGAAAGGTCCCAGGTTTGATTCTGGTCAATTGCATGTACCTTGGTTGCGGGCACATCCGGTATGAAGGGGGCAGCTGATCGATGATACTCTCTCATCCATGTTTCTAACTCTCTTTTCCTCTCTCTTCCTCTCTGTAAAAAATTAATAAAATATATTAAAAAAATATTTTCACACTGTTGTGCAGCTATTACAACAATCTAATTTTAGAACATTTTTATCACCTAATAAACTCCACACCTATTGTCAGTCACTCCCCATTTCCTCCCCATCTTCCCACTCTCCCAGCCCTGCTTCTCTAGCCTCAGGTAACCACTAATCTAGTTTTGGTCTTTTCTGGAGATTTTACAATATGTGGTCTCTTGTGTCTGGCTTCTTTTACTCAGTGCTTTTGCTTCATGCTTTTGGTATTACAATTAAGAAGTCATTGCCTCACCCCAAGTCATGAAGATTTATTCCTATGTTTTCTTCTAAGAGTCTTATAGTTTTAGCTCTTACATTTAGGTGTCTGATCAACTTTTAGTTAATTTTTGTATATGGTATGAGGTAGGTGTTAAAATTCATTCTGTTATATGTGGATATCCAGTCATCCCAGCACCATTTGTTAAAAAAGTCTGATCCCACTGAATTTTCTTGGCACTCCCACCAAAAAATCAATTGACTATAAATATGAAGGTTTATTTCTAGATTCTTAATTATATTTCATAATCTATATGTTTATCCTTATGTTAGTACTACACAGTTTTGATCACAGTAGCGCTGTACGAAGTTTTAAAACTGGAAAGTGTGGGTTCACACTTTTTTCTTCAAGTTTTTTTTTTTTTTTTTTTTTTACTATTCTGGGTCCCTTAAATTTCCATATGAATTTCAGTCGGTTTGTCAATTTCTATCAAAAAACAACTGAGATTTTGGTAGGTATTTCCTTGAATCTATGGATCAATTTAGGTGCTATTTCACTCTTAAATATTATATCTTCAACTCCATGAACATGGGATGTCTTTCAATTTCTTTAGATCTTTAGTTTGAACAGTGTTTTGTAATCAGTTATTTATTGACCAGGTCATAAAAAAGCTGTCATTCAGTAACATTTTTACAATTTTTGGTTTGACAGTTTCAGGAAAGAATGGTAAGTAGTTATTCTTTCTTGTACTTATCACCCAAAATACCCAGCATGTCAGAGGAGAGAGGGTGTTTTTGAGAAGAGAGATTATCTCTGCCTAGGAATTTGTTTCACCCTTTATAGAAGTTTTTGTTTGAGAGCCTCAGAATTAAATCTATTTTATAGCCACAGTCTGGGTAAACCTACTCAAGTGAATGAATTCTAGACAGAAAACAAATGCAGAATTCAAGAAGTGAATCAACTGCTTTCTGCACACCCCCTACTGGGGATGTGCCCACAACCAAGGTACATGCCCTTGACCGGAATCGAACCTGGGACCTTTCGGTCTGCAGGTCGACACTTTATCCACTGAGCCAAACAGGTTTCGGCTAAGTTCTTTTTAAAAAATGTATTTTATTGATTTTTTATAGAGAGGAAGGAAGAGGGATAAAGAGCTAGAAACATTGATGAGAGAGAATCATCAATCAGCTGCCTCTTGCACACCCCCTACTGGGGATGTGCCCACAACCAAGGTACATGGCCTTGACCGGAATTGAACCTGGAACCCTTTAGTCTTCTGGCTGACTGACGCTCTGTCTACTGAGCCAAACCAGCTAGGGCAACAATTAAGTTCTTTCAAGAAAAAATACTTTTGTAGATTTAGCAATTGTAAAACATTTGTGATGGGTTAAAAAAAGCCAATGGCTGATTCTTCATGATTACTAGGTATTTCTACATTAGTTACTATTATTGCAACATTGGTTATTGGGAACGAGCAGAAAGTGATTGTGGTGGCTATAGCATTAAAACTATTCTCGCAGAGATTCATGGAGGATAAGAATATGAAACAATTTTGAAGGAGGACTGAGAAATAGTAAGAAAATGTGGGTAAATGTTTCTGGAAAAGAAGTTGGAATATAGGAAATAAACTCTTACTTGTAAATACCTTGTTTCCCTGAAAATAAGACATCCTCCGAAAATAAGACCTAGCGCATGGAAAGATAAGACATCCCCTGAAAATAAGACCTAGTGCAACTTTGGGAGAAAAAATTAATATAAGACACTGTCTTATTTTCGGGGAAACAGGGTAGCAGCCTAATCTATTTGTTGTTTTAAGGTCATCGATATTCTGTGGAGCGATCCTCGTGGGAAACGAGGCTGTTATCCAAACACTAGTCGAGGAGGGGGCTGCTATTTTGGGCCGGATGTCACCACGAAGTTTCTTAATAAAAACCGTTTGAAGCTTCTCATTAGATCTCACGAGTGTAAACCTGAAGGGTATGAAGTCTGCCATGATGGGAAGGTAAGTTAACATTGTTGGTGACATCATAGACATCCTTCCCCCAAGCACAGTCTTTCTTCACAGGATGTGTCTCACCTAAAGGCCCATGGAAGATGTGCTCCCTGGTACCTAGAGAGAAGGCCATGCTTTGGTAGACAGAAACAGGAGACTGCAGAGCTCACATACATTGTTGGACAGGGCCTCTCTGTCCCTCGCCCTAAGGGATATTTGGTTTAATTCCGTAATTCCCTAATCCCAAAGACAGAAACTGACATGCAACACTAAGTACACACAGAGAAAGGCTTTTACTGATTGGAAGACAACTCACCAGTAAGGTGGGATTGAGAATGTATTTATCCTCATTGAGCACATAAAAGGCAGCCATGAATCAAGTTTGCTCTCTTTGCCTTTGCATGTTCCTGGTGCAGGGCAGAGCAACAAAACACCCTTCCCCTTCACTCCCTTAAGGAGGTGATCTCTAGCAAGTCACTCACTGTAGTTAAGCTGAAGCCACTAAAATGGAGTATATTGTGCTCCTGCAGAGGTGTGTGATAGGCTAGAAGAGGTGAGGACTGAGGAACGGGTATCTTGTCCCAATTTGTCCTGGGATGCCCCTTTTTTCTAACACTTAACAATGATGAATACAAAAGAATATAAATTTGCATGTCATTTCCTTCCATTTCAACACTTTTGCTTTTCCTAACTATATTAGTACATTTCAGGCTCTTACTAACAATTGCAAGGTGGTTATGGCAAGTATTGTTTAGACTAGAGGCCTGGTGCACAAAAATTCATGCACTCAGGGGGCTCCCTCAGTCCGACCTGTACTCTATTGCAGTCCAGGACCCCTCGGGGGATGTCCACCTGCTGTCTTAGGCTCGCTCGCTGGGGGATGGGGCCTAAGCTGGAAGTCAGACATCCCTCTGGCAGCCTGGGAGCCCTCAGGGGATGTCCCCTGGGGAGCAGGCCTAAGCTGCAGTCAGACATCTTTATTGCTTATAAGGAGGTGGGAGAGGTTCCCACTGCTACTGCTATACTTGCAGCCATCAGCCTGGTTTGTGGATGAGCAGAGCTCCCGCTGTGGGAGCTCACTGACCACCAGGGGACAGCTCCTGCCTTGAGCATCTTCCCCCTGGTGGTCAGTGTACATCATAGCTACCAGTTGTTCCTGGTCATTCTGCCCTTAGGGTCATTTTGCATATTACCCTTTTATTATATAGGATTGTTGGTAATAAGAAAATAGCAGTGACTTATTAGGACAGGATTTGACCTAAGCAAGGTTTCTTGCCACAGACAGATGTTACCCTCCATCCTCCACCACAGCCCCAAGGCCAACAGAATGGCCATGGTCCCTTATTTTAGCCACCATTTCTATGCCCTTGAAGCACTGGTTTTGTGGAGGGCTCTGGGGCCTCTAAATCAGTCAGTTCCAAGCAAAAGCAAAAGACTGATACTAGACAAGTTTTATTTTGAATGCTCAGATATCACAAGGAAAGAAAATAAAGGCTTTACCCCCTTGGAAAATTTAGAATTTGCAAAACAGCATTCAGGAAGATTCTAAGATTGAAGCTGAGATTATGCACAGGATTGCAAGGCCACACCCTGTGAGGATGAAGGCTAGAAATCAGTACTTCTGGGGACACTGATTTAAAAGCCTTGTTTCTCTCCAGTGGAATCACGGGAAAGAATTCTTGCAGACTTGAATGATTTGTATGGATTCTGAACTTGGTTTGATTTTTGCTTTTTTAAGATTTGAGCTATTTCTGACTTTATTGAAGGACATTTTGAGAATTACCTCTATGTAAAGCTGATCCTCTTTTTCTTTAATCAGGTTATTACGGTATTTTCTGCTTCTAATTATTATGAAGAAGGCAGCAATAGAGGAGCTTACATCAAGGTGGGTTTTAGTACCAATCTGCGATTTTTCCAGTACCAAGTAACCAAGGCAACGTGCTTAGGACCTCTTCATCAAAGGTGTGTATACTCTAAGGGGAATTCTGAACACTGGTACTGGTGATCAAATAGAACCAATCCAAAGTGACTAAGAACAGCCACGAGGGTGAAGACAACTACTTATTGTTTACTCATTGGTATGGAAATAGTTCCAGACACAAAGTAGCGAATACATTCGTATTTGACAACAAGAAAATTAAATTTATACATCTCTTTAGATGAATAAAGTGGTCAACATCCAGTCCTTAATTGAATGTAAAAAAAAAAAAAAAAAAAGAAAAGGTTCCCACCCAGCCCTGTAACCTATAGTTTTTGTCTGTTCCCACCCTCAAACAGCCCAGTCTGGAGTTACTTCTTTGTCTCTTCTCTATCCAGCAGTGTATATGACAAAAGAGCTGTGTGTGTTTCTCCATATAATGGCATTCATAGCTTGTCTTCTTTTTATCTCTTTAACATTATCTTTTTAACATTTTTCATTATAAAATGAATATATTTATTAAGAAGTGAGACAAAAAACAAAACAAAAGAAGTGAGACCAAAAAATATATATAGAGAGAAAGAAAATGTTAATCATCTCTCCCCCTACTTTTCAATAATCCTTTTCCCTATAGGTAACTGAAATTAATAGCCTATTGTGGACCTTCCACCCTGTTATCCTTGCTCCTACAAAAATAAACAAGCAATAGTTCATTCATTGAATAAAAAACCAAATTGAGCACATGCTATGTATCTGACACTGTTTTAGGCACAGGTGATATAGCAATAACCCAAATAAGCAAAAATCCTTTCCCTCATCAAATGCATATCCTAGTAGGAGGAGAAAACCAGTAAACACCATACATACATTTCTTTTTATAAAGAGAGAATCACAAATCACACTGCACACTCTATTCTACGACTGACTTTTCCCCTAAAGATTCTATCATGAACACAACTCCAAGTTAGTACATATGGACCTAATTCATTCTTTGTAGTAGATACATAATATTCTGTAGCCTACATATGCCGTAACAGTTGTAAAGTCAGTAAATCTTACTCAAATAATGACCATCCAGAATGATTCCAGGGTTTTGCATTTAAAAACAATACTATAATAAACATTTCTTTCTCTGTGTGTATATATATGCATAAGTTTTAGTCCTGTTTTTAGGTAAGATTTCAAAATATGAGATTTATATGTTTAAAATGTTGCTGGATTCTCCAAAAGTTGTAATAATTAACAACCTGAAGAACAAAATACTATTTCTTCACATCCTTATTAGTCTCAGATATTATTACCCTATTCTTATTTTTGCCAAGCTGAGTTTACCTCTTATGTTTTTAGAAATTGCATTTTCTCTTCTTTGAATTTCCTATGTATATTATTCCCCCATTTTATATTATTGTATTGGAAGAGTTCTTTATATATCCTGTATATATGTCACTTACTCGATATATGATTTTTCAAATCTAAGAAGCCATTGCCTAACCCCAAACACATTCCTATGTTTTCTTCTAAGAATTTTATTGAGTAAATTTTTACAATTGGGTGTCTGATCCATTTTGAGTTAATTTTTGTATGGTGTTAAGATAGGGATCCAACTTCATTCTTGTACTTGCGGACATTCAGTCGTCCTACCGCAATCAGTCAGGAAGACTATCCTTCCCCCATTCAATTGTCTTGGCACACTTGTCAAAAAGCAGTTGACCATAAAGGTACAAGTTTATTTCTGGACTTTAAATTGTATCCCATTGATCTATATGTCTAGCCTAATGTGAGTAATACACTGTCCTGATCGCTATAACTTTGTGGTAAATTTTGAAACTGGGAAATGTGAGTCGAACCTGGTTCTTCTTTTTTGAGATAGTTTTGGTTATTTTGTGTCCATGACATTTGTCTATGAATTTTAGAATCAGCATCTCAACTTCTGCAAAAAATGCCAACTGGGATTTTGATAGGGATTAATTTATAGCTATAGATCGATTTTGTGGCTATTGGCAGCTTAACGATATGAAGTCTTCCAATCCATATTATTCTATTTATTTAGACCTTTCATTTCCTTAAACAGTGTTGTGCTTTTCAATGTATAAGTCTTGGACGACTTTTGTTCAATTCATTTCTAAGTATTTTATTCCTTTTGGTACTATAGTAAGTGGAGTTCTTTTCTTTTTAAAAAATCTATATTGTTGAAAGTATTACAGATGCTCCCCCCCCCCATTGATCCTTGCTTCCTTCCCCTCCTTTCCCCTCCCCAGGCCTTCACATAAGTCCATGGGTTATGCATATATACATATAAGTTCTTTGATTTCTCTCTCCCCTCTCCCCTTCCCTCTTAAGAATCCTCAGTCTGATGTAGGTTTCCTTGTCTCTGGATGTATTTTGTCAGTTTATTTTGTTCATTAGATTCCACATGTAAATGAGATCATGTGATACTTATCTTTCTGTGATGGACTTATTTCACTTAGCATGATACTTTCCAGGTCCCTCCATGCTGTCTCAAAGGGTAAGAGATCCTTCCTTTTTACTGCTGCATAGTATTCCATTGTGTAAATGTGCCACAATTTTTTTTTATCCACTCATGTACTGATGGGCACTTGGGCTGTTTCCAGATCTTAGCTATTGTAAATTGCGCTGCTATGAACATAGGGGTGCATATGCTCTTTCTTATTGATGTTTCAGATTTCTTAAGATATATTCCTAGAAGTGGGATCACTGGGTCAAATGGCAGTACCATTTTTAATTTCTTGAGGAAACTCCATGATGTTTTCCATAGTGGCTGTACCAGTTTGCATTCCCACCAGCAGTATGCTAGGGTTCCCTTTTCTCAACATTCCCACCAGCACTTGTTTGTTGATTTATTGATGGTAGCCATCCTGGCAGGTGTAAAGTGGTACCTAATTATTGTTTTAATTTGCATATCTTTAATGACTAGTGATGTTGAGCATTTTTTCCATATGTCTCATTTTTCCATATGCCATTTGTATGTCTGCTTTGGAGACGTATCTGTCTTAATCTGTTCATTTTTTTATCGGGTTGTTTGTCTTCCTTTTGTTAAGTTGTATAAGTACTTTATATATTTTGGAAATTAACCCATTATCAGATGTATCATTGGCACATATGTTCTCCCATTCAGTGGGCTCTCTTTTCATTTTGATGCTGATTTCCTTTGCTGTGCAGAAGCTGGATTTCTTTTCTTAATTATATTTTTGGATGGTTCATTTTTAGTGTATTGAAATAAATTTATTTTTTGTGTTCTGTGCTACATTGATGAACTTCTTCATTAGTTCTGTTAGTTTTTAGCAGATTCCTTAGGATGTTCTATATACAAGATCATATTATCTGCAAATGGAGATAGTTTTACTTGTTTTCCAGTCTGGATGTCTTTGTCTTTTTCTTGCTTAATTGCCCTGGTTAGACCCTTCAGACCAATGTTGAATAGAAGTGGTGAAAGCAGATATTTTTGTCTTGTTCCCAATCTTAACAGGGACACCATTTAGTCTTCCATCATTAAGTGTTTAACTGTATTATTTTTTGTAGATGCCCCTTATCAAGTTGAGGAAGTTCCCTTCTATGCCTAGTTTGTGGAGTGTTTTTATCAATGAAAGAATATTGGGTTTTGTCAGATAAGTTTTCTGCATCTATTGAGATGATCATGTGATTTTTGTCCTTTATTCTATTAATTTGGTATATAACAGGGGTGAGGTACTTCTGACCTTATATGGCCCACGAAATCCTGTGGTCTGGCCCTGCCAAGGCATTAAGGGTGAGTTAATTAAAGGTTTGACTAAATGTAGCAGGCTAATTTTGAAAAAAAAATGTTTTTATTGCCCAGCTGATATGGCTCAGGGGTTGAGTGTCGACCTATGAACCAGGTGGTTATGGTTTGATTCCTGGTCAGCACACACCTGGGTTGCGGGCTCCATTCCAGTGTGGAGTGTGCAGGATGCAGCCGATCAACGATTTTCTCTCATCATTGATGTTTCTATCTCTCTTCCTCTCCTTTCCTCTCTCTGAAATCAATTAAAACTTTTTTTTTAAGCAGAAACTGGTGAGTGGTAACATAGTACATTAAAATGAAACAGAACATGATAATTTAAAACTTTTTTTTAAAAGCAGAAACTGGTGAGTGGTAACATAGTACATTAAAATGAAACAGAACATGATAATTTATGTAATTTTCACCTAATAATTATATTCTTAACATAGGGTGAATACCATAGAAAGTAGTGCCATCAGGATATTGAAAGAGCGAATCATTTCACGAAAAACTGACCTCATTCATAGTTTCCAACTTCAAGACCGTACTAAATCAGGTAATAAAATTATGTAATGCTTACATTTCTTAACATGCCAGGTTATATACAGATCTGTTTTTATTTTCTTTGCTTCCTTAAGATCTCAGTTCTCTATTTTTACTAGTGAGGAATGACAGAGATAAAATAAAATATAGTCCACTATATGCTTGGAAAAAGGCGTAGTCCTTTTCAGTAAGCTTCTTTCAAACAACAATCCTGAATTTAAATTCTATTTTGGTAAAATGTCAGACTAGACACTCTGGAAGGCCTGCGTGTTAAAAAATTGCTAGAATCTAGAGGCAGAATTGTAGTGCATTTACCAGCCTCACAGTAAGTATGATAAATCTCTAGGCTGCATCTCTCTATGAAAGTGATTTTGGACTTAGAAATTCCAGAAATCTAAGAGTATAAATCTGTATTATTTTAAGCCACTAATTCTGTGGTAATTTGTCATAACAGCAGTAGGAAACTAATACGGATGCCTACTGTTAATACTGTTCAACATTTTACTAGGGATATTAGCCAATGAAATAAGGCAAGTTAAAACCATAAGAATTAGAAAGGAAAAAATAAAATACCACTATGTATTGGTCAGAGTCTATTCAGGAGATAGAAACTACAACTCTGTTTTGAACAGTGAAACTTAGTATAATTATTAACTAGCAAAAAATTATTAATTACTAAAAGAGATAAAAGAATATAGGAATAGGAAGTGTAGGGAACAGCTACTATCTCTAAAGCTGAGAGAGGGTACCCAAGGAAGGAACAAACTTGGAAGCGTCTCCTACTTCCAACCAAGGCTAAGATTCAGACCTTGTCAGTGAGGGTGTGACTGTGGCTCACTACAGGGAGTAGAAGGTCACTGATGTGTCTCAGGTCAGAGTTGGTTTGCAGCCAGAGGGACAGGGCTAGAGAGGATGAAGCCACCCACTGTAATACCGTGTTTCCCCGAAAGTAAGACATCCTCCGAAAATAAGACCTAGTGCAGCTTTGGGAGAAAAAATTAATATAAGACACTGTCTTATTTTTGGGGAAACAGGGTACCAGCAAAACTCTCTTTGAGGTGTCTCGCACACACTGCTGGCAAGGGAGGTACCACTGTGGTGTCAGCTAAATTAACTAGTGAGTAGGAAGCAAAGCATAGAAGACCATTTCTTTTGCCATGCCTTAGAGTATTCTTCCTGAACCCTCTGCTGACAAAGCCTAACATTATACCAGCTGCCAAAAAAAAAAAAGAGAAATATTTATAGGATTCAGCTCCAGTATCACAAAACAGGGCAAGGAAGGGTACATTTGGAGCCAAGTGGTAATAAATTGATAATTAGTGTAGCTAGCAATGAACTTATTGGTAATAAAACCTTAAAATATACCATTTATAATAGATAATCAAGTACCAAGGAAGAAACCAAATGATTGGTGAGTGAGGCTTCTAAAATATTATTAAAAGAAATGAAAAAGAGTTGAAGTAAATCGGTAGATATTACTATGTTCAAGGGCCAATGCTGTCAAGATATAAATTCTCGCCAAATTGAGCTATCAGTTCAATGCATCAAAGGGGCATGTATGGAAATGTTCTTAGCAGCATTGTTTGTGATAGCCCCAAATTGGAGATAATCCAGGGTCTGCCAACAGTAGAATGGACATATAAATTGAGAATATTGTTTTATTTCCTGTTTATTCAAAAGCATTTCAAATAAACATGTCTTTAATAATCAGAAAAAGTAAAGATTTATATTTTGAAAAACTACATATTTTATTAGGGGATTAAAGGGCATTTAATCTGGGAAAATGAAAAGGGAATAATATGTCAAAATGTTAAAGATAAAAGTAATCTTTTGTCCTTTATATAACTTTTTCTTTGTATCCTTTTGCATTTCAAATCTTCTATTATAAAATACTTTATTTTGTTAATCAGAAAAAGGAAAAAGACATCTAACACCCGAAGTCTGACTGCTAATACATAATAGCAAAGAGCTGTGGAATATCAAAGACTTTCTTTAGTAATTCCTCTCTTGGAGCCCCGGGGCCTGGTAGGACAGACTGGAAAGGGGAGCAGGAGGCATTGAAACCCCAGGCTTCCCACTGGCTCCCCTGAGGAGGTTGCATTTTAAAAATCAAATTATGAACCAATTAATAGGCTTTTTTTTCTTGTCTTTTACTTTTTGGTTGTTATTGTTAGGAAAAATATCTATGGGTCAGTGGGCTTTTTCTATGGAAAACGTTTTGGGACTGAACTTGCCATGGAGAAGCCTGAGCTCACATCTCGTTCTCACTGACCAAGATGGAAACATTGACTACATGACCTGCTTCCACGACATTCACATTCAAAAACCTGTGAAAGAGGCAAGTGAAACACAGCCCTGGCTATAACCTGGCTATAAACACCCTTTGGGCAACCTGTAAGAGTAACTTGGTCCTTTGAAAAGATGGGAGTGGAATCGTCTAGTGGACAGGAATGACAATCTTAGGAAAGGCCTAAGAGGGATTCCCAGGTGCATTGTGGTCTATTCAGGAAAGTGCATTCTAATGATAAGCAAAAGAGAGAAAAAGCTTCTGCAAGCAAATCATGTCCAATGTGTGATTCCTTAAGTGCTGTCCAGCAGAAGTGCAGATGTGACGTCCAGTCTTTCATATAACACTGCCTTTAAAATACTCAACATATTCCCTTTTCAACTGGAGTGTATAGTCTTACTGACATGACACTTTATACCTTAAGGGCTTTTTAAAAATATATTTGTATTGATTTTGGAGAGAAAGGGAGAGGAGGAAAGAGATAGAAACAGCAATGATGAGAGAGAATCTGATTGGCTGCCTCCTGCACGCCCCCCCACTGGGGATGGAGCCCACAACCCAAGCATGTGCCCTGACCGGGAATCGAACCATGACCTCCTGGTTCATAGGTTGATGCTCAACCACTGAGCCACACTGGCCAGGCACCTTAAGGACTTTGAAAGTTTATAATCCTTTATTATAAATACTTTAAAATACCCCAGAAAGAGTTGTCAGACCCCCCCCCCATACTTATTAATTAATGACTCATCAGAAATTAGTTTTAATATTGGGCTGAAAGTGAGCTGATGGAAACTAAGACTGGAATGATTGCAGGGAGGTGAGAAGTTAAGAGCAGAGAGAGGAAGTAAAAGTGCAGGTGGGAGCCTAAAATATTCACAGGAAGGAGACTCGGGGCCTCACTTAAGAAGCAATTTACCATGGTGACTGAGCTCATAGGCCTTGGTTTCAGGCAGCTGAGATTCAAACCCCACCTACCAGCTATATGAACCTTGGGAAACTTACTTTACCTTTCTGTTCTTTAGTCTGTAAAATTGACATAATAGTAGTTCTGTTCCTTGGGGCCGTGTTAAGGACTGAGTGAAACAACCCACAGAAAAACTCTCAGTGCAGAGCCTGGCACAACACAAGGTGTTCTCAGTAAATATTGGCTATTTACTGATTTGCTTTGGCCCTGTCCCTTGGGGAGTACAGACTGCAGACCCCTCAGAACGTAAGAGCATGGTCCTTTATCTGATTAAAGATGGTTAACAAAAATCTTACACCTATGGATGAAGACAGTGGCAGGGGTAAAGGCATGGGGTGGGGAGGGGAATCAGGTGGAGGGGAGCTATGGGGAAGGGGAGAGGAACACCTGTAATAATCTGAACAATAAAGATTTATTATTAAAAGATAATAATAATAATAACAAAGAGCGTTAAGCCTCCAAGGAAGAATTGCCTTTTGAAATGGCTATCTAAATCCCTTACTTTGAATTGGTGATGGTGTTTTATGCTTGTTATGTTTACTAAAACTGATCTATGTTATTAATTCTATATTTTAACACTAGAAAAATCTTTATTTCAGGCTCAGTCAGCTCTCATTGAAACCCTGTACAGATACCGATCTGACCTGCAAATCATTTTTAATGTCATTGACTCTGACCACTCAGGTAAAGGAACTTGGATTAGTTCACGAGCAGTGAGCAAAGGCTAGTTTATTTCTCTGAAACCAGAACTCTGTTTTCATCTATTGCATACTTTACCTAAACTTGATTTAACTTTGGGTAGGGGAGAACTCAACTTTAATACTATTGTTATTTTAGTTTGGCTACAAACTGTATTCAAGACTATATGCTCCTATGTATGCCTATATATACAGTAGTCAGACAAGAATAGCTCCTTTTATAAATCACCAGCATAGATGAAAAGATAATTCACTGTCATTTAAACATCATCATTACTCCTGGCAATAAAAATCATTCCTAGACTTGTGATTCTATTTTTGGGACTGAGGGCTATGGAAACTCATTTTCTGCTTAGCTTTGCTGCACAATTACTTATTTTCAAACTTTTTATTCCTTGCGGAAATACTTGTTTTTTCATTAAACTTATTGTGGGTGACATTGGTTAATAAAATTATATAGGTTTAAAGTATACAATTTTAGAGAGAGGATCCAAGATGGCTGCTCGGGTAGACATCTAGCCGCGGCAGCACACAACAATTTCAATGGAATACAACTAAAATGTAGAGTGGACATTGCCCAGAGCTACAGGTAGTCGACTGACTGAAATTTCTACAACAAGAAGGAAAGAGAAAACCAGAAAGAAAATCAGAGGAGCTGAAAAAAAGCCTAAGGTACGGAGACATGCTGCGCGCGCCTGCCCGCCCGCACGCGCGCACGGAGAGGTCGCAGCCGGAGAGGAGGAGAGGGCGGGGAGCCGCCTTTCCTTCCCCAGCAGGAAGGAAATAAAACCCCCAGCCTGGGCTGAACCCCCGAACCGGCAGCGCTGAGCCCCCCCCCCCCAACCGGCAGCGCTGAGCCCCAGTTATGGGCCAGACCCTGGGGACCCAGGCTCCGGCGGGAGGAGACAGGGCCGTGAGGCGGAAAAACGGCGAAAGGCAGGGCCCCGGGAGTCGCGCGCAATGCGCGCAGAGGACTGAATGTTGACTCTGATGCTGGGTTGCCCTAGCCGGAAGAAACAAGGCCTCCGGCGGCGCTGAGCCTCAGTCCGGACTGCTCCGAACCCCAGTTCTGGGCAAATCCCTGGGGACCCAGGCTCAGGCAGAGGGAGACGGGGCTGTGAGGTGGAGTCCTGGGAGAGCAGCGAAAGGCCGGGCGCCCGGGACTCGCGCAAACTGCGCGCAGAGGACAGTCTGTGGGACTCCCGCAAACTGCGCGCAGAGGACAGTCTGTTGACACTGATGCTGGACTTCCCTAGCAGGAAGGAGAAAAAAAAAAGCTCTAGGCTGGGGGAACGCAGAGGGGAGCGGAAGCCCCTGCCGGACTCCAGCCAACCTGGCACCAGTAAGGAGGCGGGCCACGGGGCCCCTGGGGGCGTGGGTGCCCCTGAGCCTTTGACCACTGAGCTCGGGCAATGGAGCCAAGGTGGGGGGCTGCTTCCTGGGCGGCGCCGTCCCGCCAACAGGCTGAAGCAGCACAGGAGCCCGCAGAGAACAAAGGGGTGCCACAGGCCAACCTGCTGAGCTCCCAGGACAAGGAGGAAGAAACCAAAGAAGTTCTCAATGTGAAGAAATCAAGTGAGAGCAAAAAATAGTAAAATTACTTAAGAAAGAATACAAAGAAGATCTTGAAAAATCAAAGACTAAGTCAGAACTCAACTCACCAGCCAACATTGCAACATAAATGCGTTTTAAAAAGAAAAAAAAAAGGACAGAATGTTGGAACAGCGACGGCCAGGCCTAGAGTGGCCAGGCACAAGGCAGTGGCAGCCAGACCCGGAGCAGCAACGGCCAGGCCCCAGAACAACAGCAGCCAGAACCAGAGCATCAACAGCCAGCACTGGAGTAGCCAGACCTGGGGCAGTGGCAGCCAGGCATGAGGCGGAGGCGGCCAAGCCCAGGGTGGCCAGTCCAGGAACACCCAGACCCGGAGTGGCCGGGCCCGAAGAAGCCGGGCCCAGAGCAGCCAGGGTGGGAGCAGCCAGACCCAGAACAGCAGTAGCCAAGCCCAGAGCATCCAGGTCGGGAGTGGCCAGGCTCGGAGCGGCCGGGCCCGGGGCAGCCGGGCCCAGAGCAGCCGGGTCAGGTGCGGCCAGGCCCGGAGCAGCAGCTGCCAGGCTGGGAGCGGCCAGGCCCGGGGGAGCAGGCGGGTCGGGTGCGGCCAGGCCCGGAGCAGCGGCTGCCAGGCTGGGAGCGGCCAGGCCCGGGGGAGCAGGCGGGTCGGGTGCGGCCAGGCCCGGAGCAGCGGCTGCCAGGCTGGGAGCGGCCAGGCCCGGGGGAGCAGGCGGGGCTGGTGCGGCCAGGCCCGGAGCAGCGGCTGCCAGGCTGGGAGCGGCCAGGCCCGGGGGAGCAGACGGGTCGGGTGCGGCCAGGCCCGGAGCAGCGGCTGCCAGGCTGGGAGCGGCCAGGCCCGGGGGAGCAGGCGGGTCGGGTGCGGCCAGGCCCGGAGCAGCGGCTGCCAGGCTGGGAGCGGCCAGGCCCGGGGGAGCAGGCGGGGCTGGTGCGGCCAGGCCCGGAGCAGCGGCTGCCAGGCTGGGAGCGGCCAGGCCCGGGGGAGCAGGCGGGGCGGTTGCGGCCAGGCCCGGAGCAGCGGCTGCCAGGCTGGGAGCGGCCAGGCCCGGGGGAGCAGGCGGGTCGGGTGCGGCCAGGCCCGGAGCAGCGGCTGCCAGGCTGGGAGCGGCCAGGCCCGGGGGAGCAGGCGGGGCGGGTGCGGCCAGGCCCGGAGCAGCGGCTGCCAGGCTGGGAGCGGCCAGGCCCGGGGGAGCAGGCGGGGCGGGTGCGGCCAGGCCCGGAGCAGCGGCTGCCAGGCTGGGAGCGGCCAGGCCCGGGGGAGCAGGCGGGGCGGGTGCGGCCAGGCCCGGAGCAGCGGCTGCCAGGCTGGGAGCGGCCAGGCCCGGGGGAGCAGGCGGGTCGGGTGCGGCCAGGCCCGGAGCAGCGGCTGCCAGGCTGGGAGCGGCCAGGCCCGGGGGAGCAGGCGGGTCGGGTGCGGCCAGGCCCGGAGCAGCGGCTGCCAGGCTGGGAGCGGCCAGGCCCGGGGGGAGCAGGCGGGGCTGGTGCGGCCAGGCCCGGAGCAGCGGCTGCCAGGCTGGGAGCGGCCAGGCCCGGGGGAGCAGGCGGGTCGGGTGCGGCCAGGCCCGGAGCAGCGGCTGCCAGGCTGGGAGCGGCCAGGCCCGGGGGAGCAGGCGGGTCGGGTGCGGCCAGGCCCGGAGCAGCGGCTGCCAGGCTGGGAGCGGCCAGGCCCGGGGGAGCAGGCGGGGCTGGTGCGGCCAGGCCCGGAGCAGCGGCTGCCAGGCTGGGAGCGGCCAGGCCCGGGGGAGCAGGCGGGTCGGGTGCGGCCAGGCCCGGAGCAGCGGCTGCCAGGCTGGGAGCGGCCAGGCCCGGGGGAGCAGGCGGGTCGGGTGCGGCCAGGCCCGGAGCAGCGGCTGCCAGGCTGGGAGCGGCCAGGCCCGGGGGAGCAGGCGGGGCTGGTGCGGCCAGGCCCGGAGCAGCGGCTGCCAGGCTGGGAGCGGCCAGGCCCGGGGGAGCAGGCGGGTCGGGTGCGGCCAGGCCCGGAGCAGCGGCTGCCAGGCTGGGAGCGGCCAGGCCCGGGGGAGCAGGCGGGTCGGGTGCGGCCAGGCCCGGAGCAGCGGCTGCCAGGCTGGGAGCGGCCAGGCCCGGGGGAGCAGGCGGGGCGGGTGCGGCCAGGCCCGGAGCAGCGGCTGCCGGGCTGGGAGCGGCCAGGCCCGGGGGAGCAGGCGGGGCTGGTGCGGCCAGGCCCGGAGCAGCGGCTGCCGGGCTGGGAGCGGCCAGGCCCGGGGGAGCAGGCAGGTCGGGTGCGGCCAGGCCCGGAGCAGCGGCTGCCAGGCTGGGAGCGGCCAGGCCCGGAGCAGCAGCAGCCAAGTCCAGAGCAACTAGGTCGGGAGCGGCAGTGACCAGACCCGGAGCAGCTGGTTGTGGAATGAACCAGAGCAACAGAGGCCAGGCCCTGAGCAGCCAGGCCCGGAACAGCTCGCTCCTTGCCTGCCCCTGCCCCACGGCTGCTTCTCAGACATGGCTGGAAACTTTCGTGGGAACTTGAGGGTCTGCTGAATCAAGTGATGAAGGCTTAGATCTGGATGTGTTGAGTTAGTTTAGGACTGGGGTGTTGATCTGTGAGTGCCTTGTGTGGGGCCTGGATGAGGCTGGTGGACCTATTGGGAAATGTCTTTTGTGTGAAGTGTATCATTGGGCATGTGGAGGTATTATTGATATGAGAAAATGCTAAGTAACTGATTTACTATCTGAAAAGGGATTTACTATTGGGGAAATTGAGGGAAGAAGAGACTGAACATAAACTGCACCTATGGATGAGGACAATGGGGGATGGGGGGGGGACGGAGGGTGGGGTGGGAACCTGGTGGAGGGGGGAAGAAATGAGGAACCTTTGTAATAATATGAACAATAAAGATTGATTTAAAAAAAAAAAAATAAATAAAATAAATAAATAAATAAATAATAAAATGGCATGGAAAAAAAAAAAAAAAAAAAAAAAAAAAAAATAAAGTATACAATTTTATGATACATCATCTGTATATTGCATCGTGTGCCCACCTCCCATATTTTCAAACTTTAAAAAAATCATCAGATAATCCTTAACTACAGAGATTATTGAACACTAAAAAATTAATGGTAAAAACACAAAATTATTGCCTATTAAAAAATGACAGGGTCCTTGTTTGCAATGCTCTTATTGAGTCCCAGCATATCTTTTCCCTCTGCATGTTAGTGAACTTCAAATTGGGACTATTCAATCTGTATGGCTTCCACACCCCTCCCTTCAGTGGGTCTTAAAATGAACACTCACAGCCTTCTCCTATATTCTTTTAGGTCTTATCTCTATGGAAGAATTCCATTCCATGTGGAAACTTTTTTGTAGTCACTACAACCTTCATATTGGTGATTCCCAAGTTGATGAGCTTGCTGAAAGAATGGACTTGAACAAAGATGGAAGCATCGACTTCAACGAGTTTTTAAAGGCTTTCTATGTCGTACACCAACTTGACAACTTGCACAAATCAAAGACCCAACTTGCTTAACAAGAAGTAGAGCTTTCCCTCAAGAATATAGTCACTAATACAGTGTTTTTGCAGTACCAGTGGTAGAAACAATAGGCCCAATTTCTGCCATGAGCAGATATGTAATGTGGGTATTAGAAGTGCCTAATAAGCTGTTTTGTTAAGACTAGGTTAAATGTCAGCTCCAGTGGCAGGACCACACATTTCTAGAGAGAAACTGATTTTGGGCCTAACGTTGGTCTCTTTGATGTCTACTAACCAGGAGACCAAAGCAGTTTAGAAACATACTAAAAGAAAAAACCTGTAGAACACAGAAAAAAAACAAAAAACTACACCATCTGTAAGTGGCTCAGGAATAGGAGGAGGAATACTGAACTGCTAATGTAATAAAGCATTTCCAGCTTTCAACTGTAATCTTCTTTGGTGATACCATAAACCAGTCATTCTTAATTGTGGGGGGACCACCCTTCGGGGTTGGGGGCCAAATCAGATTCTCAAGGTAAGCTGTGGGAATGTACCATTTGAAAACATATTATTTTGTTGTACGTTGGAGATACAAAGTGAACACTTTCAGCTTGATTCCTGCCTTGAATATGGTTTGACACCTTCATGGGTAAGTAAGATGAGGCTTTTGTTATGCATACATTTTGTAATTTATTCTGCTATTCCGATGGCATATCAAACACAAGAAGAGATTTCTGTTTAAAGGCAAGTGTATTTTAATTTTTCTCCAAGTTTGAGAACTTATAGATCTATCAATATGACAGGGTAGATATATTTTCTACAGCACTGCCTGCTATGTACACCAAAATAATGGATAAAATATAACAAATATATTTTTAAATGTATAACTGAGCTGGTAGGAAAGTAAAGGAAAACCTATGGGGTAGGGGAAAAGAGCATAATTAAAGTCATAGCAATGTTAACATTAGACAGGATAGACTTTAAGGGAAAGAATATCATTAGGCATAAAAAAAGGTCATTACTGAATGCTAAAAGGAGTGATTCACCAGGAAGATATAATATTTATAAACATGCATATAATAAAAGAGCTTTAAAATTTATGATGCAAAAATTGACATAGCTACTAGAAGAAATAGAGGAAGATTTTGAATATACCTGTCAGTAATTGATAATGTAAATAAGTTAGTATATAGAAGATTGGACAGCCAAATTAATCCACCTGATTATGTGTGTGTCTGTATGTGTATACTCTGCAATTAATTTTAGAGAATGCATATTATTTTCATGAACACATGGAACATATATAAAAATGGATCATGTATTAGACCAGTGATTTTCAATCTTTTTCAACTCCTGGCCACATAAACTAATTACTAAAATTGTATGACACACCAAAAACTATATTTTTGCCAATCTGACAAAAAATAATAGGTATAATTTTGATTCATTCACACTGGATGGCTATTGTTGTATTGGCTGCTAACATTTTTTTTTTAATTGACAGTATAAGGGAAAAGAGATCAGTGCCCCTGACTGAATAATGATCAGCTATTGCATGTTTTAAAAATTCTTGCAGCACGCCAGTTGAAAAATCACTGTATTAGACCACTAAAAATATCTCAAATATCAAGCAATTGGTAACAAAGAGACTATATTCTCTGATCATAATGCAATGAAATTAGAAACCATATAAGAAGATAATATTAATGACCAAAAAAGGATATAACAAGCTCTAGCAGAAATTGCTAAAAATACAGTGAATAACTTTATCCAATAATTTTTTTAGAAAATTGGAGAATGGACGATTTCATAGGGGAAAATATAATTTACTAAAGCTGACTCAAGAACGAAAGGAGGATCTGAAGAGACACATAAACATTAAAGAATGTGATGGCTTTGCAATGTGTCTACTTGAATAGGCTGAATGACATTTCTCAGAATTCTCTTTCTTGTATATTTCTAGTTAAGGTAGGCCATGAGGGAGACTCTTGAGAGAGAGAGAAGACAAAGGGAAGAACAGCCATTGTGTAGCTCCTACCCAGTGTTGCTTGTTGGTGTGAAGCCCAGCCAGGCCTGCATCCCTCTACATTCCCTTGGATTCTGTCAGCTTCTCAGACTCCCGGGCCAGGTGTGTGTGTATAGTTCTGTGACAAAGGGCCTGGCTTCTGCAAAATGACCTGTTCACCAAGGCCATGGGCGATAAGAATGGACTGAGTCCATTCTCGTGGAGTGCCAGTTAGAGCCTGTGGGTTTGAGCCTGCTTCGGATCTTCCCTCCTGACTGCCTGCCCTGTGGGCTTCAAGGTCCAGCATCAGATATGGTGTCTACAACCTGAGTCTGCTTAGCTAGCTTCCACATTTGCATAAGTTACTTTTCCTAGTGGATGGATGGAGAGAGAGAAAGAGAGAGAGAGAGAGAATGAATCACCTATGGGTTTGGCCTCTGGTTGCACCCTGATAGATACAGAATTTGGTGCTGAGAGTGGTTCCAGAAGAACAGAAGCTTAAAGGTGAGTGCTCTGCATGCATACACCTGATGTGCACAGAGCTGCCCCATCATCTCACATGAAAACCCACTGATGATCTCAGGAGAGTGGTTTTAAGAAATGTCCAATCTCTGGCAGTACTGGATGGCCTTTTGTTGTTGCTTCCTAAATCACCTGGTTATTGAATCTCAGGTTCTTTCTGGAATTCTTATTTTCTCCCTTGGGCTTCTAATCTCTGGAATTAATTATCTGCCTTTATTGGAAAATTTACCTAAAAATATACTTTGATTTTATTAAAGATTGTTATTTAATATTGTAAAACTTCTGCTCGATATGAGCTGTGCTTAACCACAATTCAATTTTACAAAGCATACACTCACATACACATAACACACATACACACACAGATGATATGGGCAAAGGTGGGTTTACAGTTGTGAGTACATGAAAAACACAGTTTATTCTTGTGTTATCATTTATTATTGTATTTTCCATACGAATAACTGTAAACCTACTTTTGCCCAACCCTCTGTGTGTATGTGTTTATGGAGAGATATGAAATATCTCACTTTTAATTTCTATTTCTTTATTACAAGTGATATTGAGCATCTTATTTGTTGGTCAGTCTATTTTCTAAGAAAGTCTTGTTCTTATCCTTTGCTTATTATAATACTACACCTGCTTGCCTTTTTCTTACTAATTTTTAGGAACTTTAAAGTTCTTGATGCTGACCCACTGTTCTTTATTTGGGAAGCAGATATCTTCTCCCAGGATGTCACTTGATTTTTCACTTTCTTTCTGACATATATTTTCAAGTCAAGTCCTGAATTTTTGTTTATAATTTGTAATTTTGAATCTTACCAAAACCCCAAAATATCCTTTCCAACCATGGAAATATCATAAAGGTACAGTTGATCCTTGTTATTCACAGGTTTTATAGTTGCAACTTCACGTACTCACTAACATTTATTTATAAATGAAAGTCAATATTTATGGTGACTGTGCGAAGTAGAGGACATTTTGAGTCACATTATGTTCCCAGCTGAGGTCGAACAGAGTGATGGCCTGCCTTCTTCCAGCTCTCTTGCTGTAAACAAGTGTCCTGACAGTCTATTTAGTGTCACATGGGATTTTTATTTTTTAGTGTTTTGTTTTCATTTTTATTTTTTTTGTTGGCGATCTTGCTGTTTATAATGCCCCCCAAATGCAGTATTGAAGTGCTGTCTAGAGTTCCTAAGTGCGAGAAAGTGGTGAGGTGCCTTATGGAGAAAATTACTTTATTCACACATGAGTTATAGTGTTGCTAGGTGAGTTCAGTGTTAACCAACAATATATATTAAACGAGGTGTTTTTAAACAGAAACACACATTAAACAAAGTTATGTTGTTGACTGACAGAGATGTTATCAGAAGCTCACAGTGACTAAAGGAACAATTGTTTTCCTAGGAACAATTTGCAAATTTGGTGGTCACAGAGATTATAGAGAACATAACGATTGCAAATAACGAGAATCTACTATAATAGTATTCTTCAAAAAGTTTTAAACATTTTACTTTTCAAAAGCATTTATCTCTTCCACCCACTGGAAATTTTGGGATGATGCAGAAGCACCATTTACTGAATTGTTCATTCGTTCCTGCTAATTTGAAATGCCACCTCTGTCATATTAAGCTCTGCCACATTAAGCTTTAATTCTAGGCTTTCTGTTAGGATCCAATGGTCTCTCTGGTCTATCATCTGACGAATACCTCATGTATTAAATACTACAGCTTATAATAGTCTTGATATTTGCTATTATGAATTCTCTTCCTCCACCTTTATTCTCCTTCAACATTTCTTTGATCCTTTAGTCCTCTGTACACATTTTAGGATAAGCTTGTTAATGCTGGGAAATCCCCTGTTGGATTTTTATGGAAACTGTATTACATTTATAGATTAATCTGGACAGAATTGCCATCATTACTGTATTGAGTTTTCCTATGCATGAACATGGTGTATTTCCCCCAATTATTTTAGTCTTTGCTCATGTCTTTTAATAAAGAATTTCTCATTATTGTAATCTTTTTTTTTAAAGATTAATTCCAACGTATATTATGGTGGCTTTTTTGTTTTGTTCTCGTTTAATTCTGCATGCTTTTTTTCTCATAGGGTTTAATTCTAATGATTTTATTGTTTCCCTTCTAGTCTTCAGGTATTTTATACATATTTCATTTATAATCTCATTCTTGTTAGCTCTGTGTATTTGGAGTTTGTTTGAGTGTAATTGTATGTTTGTCTTGTGTACAAACTCTTGATCAGGTTGGATTGTTCATTCTCAGACCTTGTTTTTTTAAATTTTTTATTGTGAATTAATCATTAACAGGGCTTTTTTGTTTTGTTTTGTTTTGTTTTGTTTTTTGTTTTCTGTGAAAACCCCATGATGTTTGGGATGTAGGAGCATCTCTTCAGAGAAGTCTTTGCATGCTTCTGCCTTGTGCCTCAGGAGGGTCTCTGCCTGAGGAATAAGTCTTTCATTATTTTTTAGTGTGGAGTTTCTGAGATGTGCATAAAGTAAAAGCAATGTGAAGTGTGG